TGTATAGTCTCTAAAAATAATAGCTGAAAATATATATATATATATATATATATATATATATATATATATATATATCTGTGTGTGTGTGTGTGTTCTGCATTTTATATACAAAAATTACACAAGTTTTATACATCTTTTTGGCTATCAGTTGTAAATAGTTTCTAACGCGGGCTAAAAGTGATAATACCCGTTAATCTAGGCCCCATTTCATTTCTGAGGTATTTGTTTTTGGTAAAGCACTTTTTTTGTTTCATTTTACGATGTGTTAGTGGGCGTTTGGACAAAAGAATTGTAAAATTCCAAAAAAAGTAGGAAAAAAAATTCAAGTGAAAATGGTATTTGAAAGTTAGAGTTGTGTTTGGACATGAATACAATTTTGGGCTGTTTTTTAAAATTTTCGAAAAAATTCTGAAATTCATCTTCAAGTGAAAATTGAAGATTTATGGCCAAACTCTTCTTTCGTAAAAAGTAAAATATTTTTGAAAAAAGCGAAAAAGTTACCCCTTAGCCTGACAGTTATCAAATTTTAAAAAGTCAAAATGATTGTTGAGTCTCATTGTCTAAAACAATTTTTTTTTACTACACTAAGATATCTTTTGAATCTTGTCATTTTCAAAAATGTCATGTGAAATACTATTAGAATTCAAGAGTTACAAAATATAGAAAGTATTATTTTTTGAGACAAACTAAAAAGGAAAATAAAGCACATGACTTCAGACAGAGGAGTGCTAGTTTTGGATATAATTAGAGAAATTTTGGCGATAACACTCTAGTAATGAGATTTTTTGGTCAAATGGCAATATGACATGCTTAATCATAAAGGGACTAACATAAAAATATTAGGTACATCTAATTTCTATAATACAATTATTAGGCAATCCCAATAAACCAACCATGTGACTAAATCTAATAGGATGAGGTTAGTTATATGCCATATGTGGAAGAAAAGGACTAGTAAAATCTTAATTAGGTTTAGACTATGATGTGGATTATGTGACTTTTAGTACTCCTTTTAGTATTATATATCCATTTAGTTTTGAGCAGAAACTAATGAAAGGAAAGAGCTTTAACAGAAAGCTTTATGAATTTCCTTTCTATTTAAGCAGATATTCAAAAAGGGGTGCAATGAAAGAAAATCATCTATGTACGTTAGGATAATATTGTAGTCATGTCAATACATTTATTTCAGGTTCAATTTGTAGGAGTCTTTGTCTATATATAGTACCTTTTATTTTATACTGCATATTATATAATACCGGACTTATATTAAGATAGAACTTAGATGAAATAATATCGACAGTGATAATTCATATAACCGACATCAATTTGCTTAAAATTGAAGTATAGTAATTGTTAAAACTACTTCTATGGGATATAATTGAAAAATACTGATTTTTCATGCTCATGCACAATTGCATATGCTTAATCAGGGACAGAGCTTATAGGTTTGCTTATGAGTTCAACAAAACCTAGTAGCTTTAGTTCAGACCTTGTATTCGTGCAATTAAATCCACTTATTATGTATAAACATTTATCCAAAACTCAATAATCTGCATTTTTAGAATTCAAAACTTATAAACTCAAAATTTTGGCTTTGTCTGTGTGCTACTTGATCGAGCATAATAGCATATTCGGCCAAGCTGCAAAAATCAGTTTATTTTGAAAAATGCTTGTTCTTAAAAGTACTTTTGGTGAGAATCAGTTTGTGTTTGGCTAACTAATTATTAAAAACACTTCTGAGCAGCAATTAGTATTTCGCCAAGCTTTTAAAAACTGCTTCTAAGTGTATTTTTTCCAAAAGTGCTTTGGAGAGAAACTAGTTTTTTCCGCTTCTTCAAAACTGCTTCTACTTCTACTCAAAATCATTTTTTTCCTCTAAAAGTTTGGCCAAATATAAAAAACCCTTCTGATTTTGGAGAAGCTTGGCGAAACATGCTATTTGGTGGTGTTCCTCTTGTGGCTCCTAGGAAGACAAATCACTAAATTCTTGCAATAGCTTTCTGGACCCCACACTCCTATCTCTCACTCCTCTAATCCTGGAGCCTATAAAAGCAGCAGTCCATTGCCACTTCTATTGCACAACAAACTCAGCTCTTCACTATATATCTTAATTAATTAAGTAGTAGTCTCTTTTTGCATATAAAAAAACACGTCGAGTTCAATAATGTCTAGTTCTCAAGCCCAAGGATCATGGACTACAAAGCAAAACAAGGCATTTGAGAAGGCATTGGCTGTGTATGACAAAGACACTCCTGACCGTTGGTCCAACGTTGCCAAAGCTGTCGGAGGAGGCAAAACTGCTGCAGAAGTTAAACGACATTATGAAATACTTGTCCATGATATCATGTTTATTGAGAATGGTGGTGTCCCTTTCCCCAACTACACTGGAGGAGGCACTACTAATAATTAGCATCAACTAAGGTATGCCACTAATTAATTGTCTATACAATGATAAAACCAAGTTTGATCATTTCATGCCATAATATTGAGAGTTACTCGTTATCTGTACTAACGAGAGGCTAGTGGTGAAGCTAGGAGTTTCCCCAAAGGTATTCAAACTTGAAAGAAGTAAACAAAAATTTACAAAGAATATTCAATATATGTTATGTACGTTTAAACCTGATATTTTACCTATATATACAGTATAATTTTCGACAAAGGGTGGTTAATTGACCACCCTAACCAAAGTGTAGCTTCGTCCATGAAAAGATGTACCTGATAAAATAGTCGAGGGACATGAAAATTAGGAGTTGACTTTATCCGGACACCACCATTATAAGAAAACAATAATTTTATGTTGTTCGTTAATTAGTTATAGCAACTTTCTTTCTATATTTGAGCTTAGAAATGATTATTCCTGCGAAACTCACATAGACAAATTACATTTAATACTTCAAACCATGCAGCGTAGGAGAAAAAAAGAAGATTTAAATTGTTATATTAGCCTAAATTTATTTTTGTCGAGTTTCAAGCAAGGTAGATATCTTCCAACTCCAACTCCTTCTACGAAGCAATCGTGGGAGGGTGAGGGAGTTACATTCTAGGAAACACTGTTACTATTATTTTACACATTTTAAATTAATTAAGAAAAAATTGCGGTGTAACCGATCCCCAAATAATAGAAGGCGAATGTATATTGCATAATCATATTTAATATACATGTGATATACATATTTTATACATAATTATTGTATGTTCTTTTTTATTTGGATAGCGAGTGTAATTATTTTTGATCGATCGAACAATTGATGTGTTATAAGTCCTAATTAATATATGGAGTACTCTTTAAGGAAACAAAGTATCTCGTAAATATTTTCCATATACAAGTATATATTTTTTAAGTCCAAACTAATTATTGAAATAGCAATTCTTAATGTTTCTCGTCGGATATATGATGCAGGATGCAAATCTTTGGCTCCAGCAATAATGAGACAAAGAAAGATGCAGCCTTATCTACGACTACACATCATTTGTTTGCAAGAAAATAACCATAGCTAGTACCAGCTACAGGAAAAAAATTCAGAGCATTTTCTATTTAAAAATCTAAGTGTATATTAATTTCGTTTATTCAAGTTAATAAGTAGTAGTAGTAGTATATTTCTGCTGCTGTTATGAATTTCATGCATGTATTATCTGAAGGAAGCATTTGAATTCCTTCCACTCTACTTTGTAATATCCATTTTCTCTTTCAATATATGACAAAGGTGTATCTATTAATGTGTGCTGTAGTCTTTCTTTGGATTATCTGTTCTTTCGAATTGTTTTGTCTCGTGTGAAAATATTTGAACGATTAATCAACCAAAAAAAATTAAAACTTTTTGCTTGAATGGATCCATAATTTGTATATAGACACACATAAGCCTTTGGTTGGATCCCAAAACAATGTTAAACTTTCTCAATTCTCCTATTTACCAGCATGAAGTATCGTATACCTCTAACACATTGTAATATTCACATCAGAATATATATGTTTTATGAATTAAAGGGCAGCTTGGTGCACTAAGCTTTCGCTATGTGCGGGGTTCGGGGAAGGGCCAAAGTACATGGGTATATTGTATGCAGCCTTACCTTGCATTTCTGCAAGAGGCCGTTTCTATGGCTTGAACACGTTACCTCCCAGTCACGCATACATTCTCTCCGGTTTCGGCTCATAAAAGATTTAAATATTAAACAAACGTATCTTTTTAAATATTTTGTGTAAAAAAGTAATATTGTAATCTGTATATAGACAAATTTGCTCATAATTTCATTTTTTCTTTTCTTTATGTTACTAAACCGCATTATTTTGCTTGATTTTTATCATTAAATCACGCATTTAATCCCTTATATCACATTCTTTAAATCATATTCCTACTTAAATAATGATGAAGGAAATAATAATGAACTTCATAGAAATTCCAAAATACGAAAAAGACGAAGATGCATGCAATATTGACACCCTAATAAGAGATGTGATATAAATCAAACCTCATGGATTTTTATATAATTCTTTCTAGAATTCCCAAATCTTCTTGTCGTATTGTAGTCTTTTCATTTTTTTTTTTTCTATTTTAAATTTCGAGGTGGTAGTTGACAGCTCGTACGAAAGGCATTGGATACCTCTGAAATAGAAGATTTTAAATTGATTAGATCTAAGAATTTGAATATAAATATGAATATTCCAGCTTTAGGGTGAAAAGCAAGGGAAGTGGATGACTTAGTGAATGGGGGAAATTGTAGAGGGGCTATTCTGGGATGGAGTGCACCAAATGCAGGGCCAACTGCTTGATATTAACCTATTAGGTAGAATTTGTTGAGATGTGAATTCAAATTAATCAAAAACAAAATGACATACATATAATGTATATACGGGCAGCATAGAGCTAGAATATGAAACTTCCCTTTGGTGCAATTGAGTTAATAGCTTAATCGTTAGAATGAAATTCCATGAATACTTGAGACTAGTTTAAGCACTTCCGTCATTCTACCTTAGTCCTCCTACCAGCAAGTTCACTGGTGCAAAGAGCAGAACTCCAGTGCAATGAAATCAATCCAAGTTCCACAAAACCATTCTTATACTAAAATAGACACTGGAAATAAGAAAGTGAAATTTACAAGTCAAAAGCATCCAACATACTAAAATACTGACAGCATAGTGAATTGTCATATCTCATTCTTTTTCTACCCTTTTAATACTATAGTTCATCATATCAAGAGGTGCCGAATATCCTACTCGGCCAATGTTGTTTGCAGGGGCAGAGAACTTTCAACCTCTTTAGCCTTGGCATTCCTCTCTGCAACAACTTTTGACATGCCGAACATCTGAAATGTAATGGAAAAAGTTTAGCAGTCGATTTGAAATAATAAGGGCAGTACTTTCTAGGGTCATCGTAAGCTGCTTATTTTTGGCGAAAGTATTGACAGTACCTTTTGGATGGTCTTCTTGAAGCAGGTTTTGTGTTCATCCATGGAAGCATGGATGAATTCATCAATGTGATCCTTGATATCTTCCAGAAAAGTCGCTTCTTCGTTCTTCTTCTTTCTACATGAAGTCATGGCTGGATTTGGAGTAACAGGGGAAGGTGTCTTCTCATTTTGGACGTTTTCTGCTGCCATATCGTTGATCCTAAGCTCTTACCTAGGGAGCAAGGTTTATCAACATCACGGATACCTATTAGTACTACTTATATTTCTTTGCAAAGAACACAAACATACACCAAGAAGAGAAATCCAGTCAACAACAATAACTACAATTATGTCCCAATCCCAAAATAGTTAGGTGTCAGTTATACTAATCCTCAATACATTTTGCTCTATTTGGAAAGATTGTACTTAATTCAGCATTAGTAGCAACCTGTCTCAAAACTTATACTCCTTTCCACTGTGTGCTAATCCTTCATAGTACACTAATAGTGGCGGATCCAAGATTCTTATTTCATGGGTGCTCAACTATATTTAATCTTGATATTGCTACTGAGACAGGGTGCTCCATTAATATATTTATATGAATTACTAATTTTTCTATATAAGTAATGGTATTTGGCTCCAAAAGTAATGGGTGCTTTAGAACCCATAATTCACAACATTGATCTGCCACCGACACTATTCCTCAAAACTTATACTAACCTGCATGTACTTTTTGTTAATTTGGACCCCTCTCTTCCACAATCTTCAATAACAAAATGTTGCAAATCTAATTCAACACATTAGTAGCAAATCGCCAAAAACTTATAAGTACTCTTTATGATTTTACAACTGTTTTAGTCCGATGCTCAATTCAACGCTGTTGTTACACTCAAAAGATATACCACTTAGACGGGGTTCAGGAGTTAGTTATATTTCAATCAAAAGCAATAAGCAGGTGTTTATCCTTAAGAGGTACCCAAATTTCAACATGCATGTATAGGTTGTGTTCATTCAGAAACAGGACATCTATGGAATTTACTAAGAATTCAGCCACAAACATAAAAAATAAAAAAATCAGCCACAATATTTATGATCACAGCAATCCGACTATGGCACTATGCGACAATATTTTAACTCTCAAGACAATCAAATTGGCCAAATAATTGATCAAAAGACTCCGGAAACTAAAGGATATGTGCTAACCATAACCCCAGTAGCGCATAAGTACTATCCATATTCAATCAACATATCAGTATCAAATTAGTGCGCTACGAGAAGCATTACCAATGCAGGTAAACTTTTTTAAAAGTAATTCCTGTGCGAAAAACAAAAATCTTCTGGAGTTAACGTTAAAGCACAAAGTGTTATCAGATACTACCAATGAACAGAACATGCGAGAATCAAATTTGACAGTAAGAATTAAGGAAACAAAAATTGCACATAAACTGCTTGATGTAATGCTGCTAAGAAATTAAATTAAGTCGACCATGACACAAAGCAAAATAAGTAAACCCAGTACTAGATTTCTGAGCGATATCATCTTTCGTTTATTGCTGTTCAGAGAGATTAAGTTTAAGGAATTGAGATTATTGAATCGAAAAGTATAAAAAAAGAGAAATTAAATCGAAGGAAATGAGTTTTGTTCCATACCTTTCGAAATAGAGAGGACGTGGTTTTCTGATCACGAAGTTTGAGAATGCTCGAGGACCTTCTATTAGAATATGCATTTTTATTTTTGCTTTTATAGAAAGTGTATGACTTGAGCAACAAGTTTGTTTCTAATATTGGGTCCGAACGGGGCCTTAACATGGGCCGGGTCAAGGGACCAACTTTACAAAAGCACTTCTATCAAAACTTATTGGGCCTCAAACTTTCTTGCAGATCTAAATGAGAAATTTTAATAAAGCACTATCTTTTAGTGGTAATTAGCTATCTATAGATATCATTTGCTATATTATGGATTGTAGATACATTTTCTGTTGTTATGAGATGTATTAGATGTATTTAAGCTACTGTATTCATGAATACAGTAGCAAAAATATGCGTGAATCAGGGAAGTCCAGCTAATCAGTTGTTGTATTCGAGTATATTCGACTGTATTCATGGCGTGAAACATGGGATTACAGCCGGACAGATTATTGTATTCGACTGTATTCACGGCGTGAAACAGGGGATTACACTGTTTTTAAACAGAAAGTGAATTAATTAACATAATGGATTCCTAATATAACTCAACAAACTCAATTATAACACACAAATTTTGTATTTCCAATTATAAAAAAGATTCTCAACCGAAAAATACCCCAAAAACATAGCAATCTTCAGAGAAATTATATAATACATCTGAATACATAAATTATATCAATTTAAAAAAATACATTTATAGCATATAGCGAGACAGTGAATACAATGAAATACATAGAATACAGCGGGATACATTGAAATACAATGAAAAAAAGATAGTGAATACAATAAAATACATGGAATACAGCGAGATACATTGAATTACAATGAAAAAAAAGATAATGAATACAACGAAATACATGAAAAATACAGCGTGATATATTGAAATACATTAAAATATATTAACAGAAAATCAAGTTGCTCAGCCCCAAACTCCTTCGTCTTTGTTCAAGAACAAACCCTAATTTCCGGCGAATCCGCCGTCGAGCAAAAACCCTGAACAACTTCAGCCAGAGGAGTGGATTGTGGTATTGGCAATGGAGAAGTTCTACAAACAGGACAAGTTGGATTTAACCTCAGCCATGGATCTACGCATTTTAAGTGAAACAAATGCCCACAATCTGGCAATAGCCTTAACATGTCACTGTTCTTTTAATCCGCCAAACAAATTGAGCAACAAGTCGCTGTTGAATCCTTGTGATTGACCTTAGCTTCTGAATACAACAACTTTGGATAACTCAATAGGGTTTCCTCATCAAGCCCCACTTCCACCACAACTTCTTTAACGTCCTCGTTGCTATTTTTATTTTTCAGGAATGGGGGAAGAGAATAGCATGTATCAAAGCAGAGAGAGAGAGAGAGAGAGAGAGAGAGAGAGAGAGAGAGAGAGAGAGAGAAAAAATAGTGTAATTGGATAGCGTATTTAGTGGCTTAGGGATAGGAGGTAACCAAAATTAGATATTTTGCTATAAACATTAAAAGGTATCTATAGAATAATTTTTTAAAATGGTATTTATTTAAAATAAATAAGGTGTTAACCTTTGCTATAAGAGGTAAAAATTCCGATCTAAATTGTACTTGAAAAAGCCCATCTGTAATTCCTTCTCTCCTTCTAATTCTAGCAATATTAGAAAATTTCCCCCCAAAAAAAATACCAAAAATAAAAATAAAAAATCTGTTTGTGTTATATTTGGTTGTTGAAGGAGTTGAGCAGTGTAAGCGAAAGAAATTAATTTTTCTACGCAAGACTTTTAAAAAGTGTAGCCTAAAACATATCATAACATTTATATTTATAGTCTGTTTGGCCAAGCTGCAAAAATCAGCTTATTTTGAGAAGTGTTTTTTTCTCAAAAGCGCTTTTCTTAAAAGTACTTTTGTAAGAAGCCGCTTGTGTTTGGCTAGTTAATTTGAAAAACATGTTTAAGCAACAATTAATGTTGGGCCAATCTTTTAAAAACTGCTTCTAAGTGTATTTTTCTCAAAAGTGATTTTCACAAAAAATACTTTTGGAGAGAAGCTACTTTGACCAATATTTCGCACAAACCGTAAATTTCAAATATTACAATTAGGGGTGGCTGGGCCGGGCCGGGCCCTAAATGGGACAAGTGGGCCGGTCTCTTGGGCCGCGGTCCCGGTCCTTAAATAAACGGGTTGAACGGTCTTTTGTAGGAACCGGCCCGGGACTAGGCCCACGAACTCATGGTCCCGGACGCGGGTCGGGCCTGCGGGCTAAGTGGGCCTAACAGCTAAGTAGTGGTTTTAAAAAAAAATTAAATAGAAATTAGAGACAAAAAGATGATAAAAAGATATCTAAGGCAATGCCTTATAAATTTATTATAGAATTTTGACCTAATTTTTAAATTTAAATTGAATGACAAAAATATTGTAAAAAAATATTCAAAGCAATGCATAGTTACTATACCAAAGACAAGCACATATGGGAAATACAACTGAAACAAACATCTTGGATGGTGAGTAAGATCATGAAAGCAAAGAAGACATTTATAGAAGCAGGTTTCAGCTATGATGAAATCATGAAGATGAATAACTGTTCGATTAAAAACATATATCACAGACTGCGAGGAAGATTTGACAAAGTCAGCTGGAAAAGAGTTGTATGTCACAACACAGGATGCCCCAAGTGGACTTTTATACTAACTATGGCAGCACATGGCAAGTTATACACAAGAGATAGATCACAGAGCTGGGGAGTACGAGTGGATCAAGAATGTGTTCTGTGCAAGCAAGCAAATCAAACCATACAGCACCTGTTCTTTGAATGCTCTTATGCAAACACATTATGGAGCACACTGTTAACATGGCAAGGGATTAAAAGACCAGTAAATGGCTGGGATGAGGAACTAAGATGGGCTGAGTTGTGGACTAAGAGGAAAACAGCAGCAGCTAGCAGCAGCTGAGTTATATAAAATGGCACTAGCAGCAACAGTGTACTATGTTTGGCAAGAAAGGAATGCTCGAACTTTCCAAGCTAAGGCAAAAGAATGGAGTTAACATGCAAGAAGATTATACAAGAGCTTCATTGTCGAAGTAGTAGGCATACTGAGAAAATCCTACATAGACTAGACTGGTACCTATTGTAATAGGTAGGAATGTGTAAATAATAGAAAACGGGATGGGATGAAGTATAGGAAAGCAGGATAATATGTAAGGGTTCTGATTTACTTGTAAATATTTCCCTGGTAATGAAAAATCTAATTACCAAAAAAAATAAAATAATGTCAAGACCCAAAATCCTAACCTGTCGTAATGGCACCTATCAATGGTACTAGGCAAGCCGATTTTCAAAATACGTCGATATTTTATATAAAAAAAATAAACCAAAAGCTTTTTCATAATAGAGTTTTCATAAAAACAGGAGTTAAACTAAAAATATAATGCGGAAAGATAGCCCCAAACATCAGGGTGTCACCAAGTCATGAGTGTCTAGACATCCAGTCTAAGAAAAAAAGCCTACAAGAGTCTGTGTCTAAATGTTAATACAGAAAAGAAATATAGCAACGAAGGAGGAACAAGGACTGCGAACGCCGGCAACTACCTCGTAAATCTTCGATACTCGACCACGCACGAGCTCAACGTCCTCCGTGGCCGGGCACACCTGGATCTGCACATGAAGTGCATGGTGTAGCGTGAGTACAACCAACTCAGTAAGTAACAGAAACAAATAAGGAACTGAGAAGTAGTGACGAGCTATACAAATACAGTTCATTTCAGTAAATTCAGTAAAGAATAGACATGCTTTCAAATTCGGCAGTTTAAGTCAAATCAGCTTTATACAGTTTCAAGTTCAAGTAAACTGGATATAAAATCTTCCAAAAATTTCACAACGATGATAGATATCAACTAAGTGCAACAACAAATGAAAGCAAGTACAACCTCTCAAGGCAACAGTCACTCAACTCATCTCAACAGCTCAATCACTCGGCTCTCGGCTCTCGACCCTCAGTATCCACACTCAATAGGTACCTGCGCTCACTGGGGGTGTACAGACTCCGAAGGTGCTCCTACAGCCCCAGCACTATAATCCTCACGGACAACTCGTGTACTATAATATCAAATTAAGATCTGCACGGATAACTCACGTGCTACACGGACAACTCACATGATATGGTATCAATATTTCATCATCAGGCCCTATGCCTTACTCAGTCATCAACCTCTCGTCTCTCGGGATATCAAAAATCATATAAATTAGCCCAAACAAAGGTAAAGCATGTATCAACAAGGAATAAGAAGAGATGGAGGTATGATGCGCAAATAAAGTCATGACTGAGTACAAGACAACAAATAGCAGCTAATTCAACAAGTACTCGACCTCAACGAGCCCCAACAGTGATATTATATGGCCTAAGCATGATTTCTAACATAAATTACAGTCAAATTTCCCTAAAACAGAGGAAATATGTAGTTAACAGTAAGCTATTCGACTTTACAGTCTCACAGGACGGACCAAGTCACAATCCCTTCGGTGCATGCCCACACGCCCTTCACCTAGCATGTGCGTCAACTCCAAAAATGATCACACGACACAAGAATCTGGGGTTTCATACCTTTAGGACCAGATTTATAACTGTTACTTACCTCAGTCCGAGCAAAACTCTACTCCAAAATGCCCTTGCCTCGCGAGTCGACCTCCGAATTTCCCGAATCTAGCCACAAGCAGTACAATATTATTGATATAAGCTAAAGGGATCAATTCCACAAGAAAACTACTAAATTAGAGCAAAAAATCCAAAATTGGCTTAACCCGCCTCCGGGCCCACGTCTCAAAATCCGACAAAAGTCACGAAACCCAAAAACCCATTCACTCACGAGTCTCACCATACCAAACTTATCAAAATCCGACACCATTTGGTCCTCCAAATCCCCAAAATTCACTCTCCAATTCTCAAGCCCTAAACTCCCAAATTTCACCTCATAAACTCACCAACTAGGTGTAAAATCGGTGGAGAAACATCATTATTAAAGGTAAATGAGCATAAGGAGCTTACCTCAGTAATTTCTTCGAAATCCCTCTCAAAATCCTCCAAAATCGGAGCTCAAGGTGATGAAAATGGTGAAAAATCTCGAAGTCCCGTATTTATATGTCCTGCCCAGGCTTTTCACACTTGCGACCATATATCCTCACCTGCAGAGCTGCTTCTGCGATCAAAATTCCGCTGTTACGGAAGTCACTTAAATCACCGGGCCCGCACCTGCGCTCCAGGTCTCGCACCTGCGGACGCGCATCTGCGGTCCTCTGTCCGCATCTGCGGAAACAGCCAAATCCTCACCTATCGCATTTGCGCGGCCATCATCACATCTGTGGGCTCGCAGATGCGCACTCTCCTTCGCACCTGCAATTTCCCCAAGCCAACTCCACCTCCGCATCTGCGCCAACCTCACCGCACCTGCGGCTAGACCCCTCGCAAGTCCGATTACACCAGCAATAGGCCATCTTCAGCAATCCTTCAAACATCTAACTTGATCCGTTAATCATCCAAAACTCACCCGAGGCTCTCGGTACCTCAACCAAATATACCAACAAGTCTTATAACTGAATGCGGACAACATCAAAAACACGGATTCCACCCGGATTCAAGCCTAATGAACTTCTAAACTTCTGAAATCCATAAACGACGCCGAAACCTATCAAACCACGTCCCATTGACCTCAGATCTTGCACACACGTCATAAATGACACCATAAACCTACTCCAATTCCGGAATTCCAATCCGACCCCGATATTAAAATTTCTACTGCCGGTCAAATTCGCCAAAATTCCAACTTTCGCCAATTCAAGCCTAATTCTACCATGGACCTCCAAATCACATTCTGGACGCACTCCTAAGTCCAAAATCACCTAACGGAACTAATGGAACCATCAAAATTCAAATCTGAGGTCGTTTACACATAAGTTGATATCCGATCGACTTTTCCAACTTAACTTCCAATTAAGAGACTAAGTGTCTCAATTCACTTTGAATCACTCCGGACCCGAACCAACTAACCCGGTAAGTCATAATACAGCTGTAGAACACAGAAAGAAGCGGAAAATGGGGGAACAGGGCTATAACTCTCGAAACGACCGGCAAGAACGTTATAAATAAAAAATATAGCAATATCTTTCTTGGTCTTCCTCTCCCCTATAGAATGAGCATAACAAGGTGCTAATACCACCATTGAGAAGAAAAATGAACTAATCAAGATGTGCCAAAATACAAGTTACATAATACATAATACTAATTTTTGTTCATACAAGTTACATGCTATCTCTTACGAACTTTATAAACCCTTCAAGGTTCGGAGGAAGTTCCGTTAGTGGTGGCAGAAAAGTAGTTGGTCATCGTCGCCTCCATTGTCGGGCGAAGCAGTATCCTCAGCAAGTTTGACTAGCATTTTTTCGTAAACTTAGTCTTCCTCTGGTTGTGATTCAACAAGTCCAAAATTTATTCTTTCCCAACGGATCCAATCTTTGAAAAGTACTGATTTTTCCAAGCTCTCCCTCATACACGATCTATAATCACCGATTTGAAGTCTTGCTTGACTGAAAGCACTCTCTAATGTCACTGTTGAAGCTTGAATAGTCAAAATGTCTCGGTCCATCCTTGAAAGAACCAGAAAGTTTTTTTCTATTACAAAATATTAAAGGAGCCGTAGGGATTCACTTCCTCAAGTTGCTGCGACAAACAAACTTCAAGCTCATTTAGTTGTGAAAAATCATTACTACTAGAACTAAAAGAACCCCTAAAACCCGCCCAAGCACTAAGTCCTCTTACTCCCGCAGTTCTTTTAGAAGATTGAGAACTAGAAGAAGAAAGAGTTGGAATATTTGGTCTAGCATGATTTAATGCAACTTGATAAGCATTATAAATAGTTTGAGCATTTATTCTAATTGAGGCTAGCTATTGCTTCCGGAAGTTTAGGCAACTCATCATCTTCAAGTGCTAAACCATTATAAACAGTTTCATACCAAAATTGAGGACCTCCAAATTTCATACAATGATTTAACAAAGCAGAAATACCATAAATAGAGGGAATAGAGAAAAAATATTTTTAATACCTTTTTCTCATAGAATCAATAGCAAGTTGATAAATTTTCCCACCCTGTGAAAAAATGAGCAAACAAATTTGCAAGTTCAGCAATATAAACTAAACAGTTAGAAATAGTAGGATAATGTTGCCTAAAAAATTCATTTGTAAAAATATGAATTTTTTCTAAAAAATCAACAAGCATTTTAACATTAGCCCAATCCCCATACGTAAGGTAATCATCATCATCACTTACATGTGCATTAAACGTTGGGTTTATGGGGTTTCTATATTCATATGCAACAACCAAACTTTCATACATGTAATTCCATCTAGTTGGACAAGGTTTAGGAACCTTTCTCTTAGGCCACATTCGTCGCATCTTTTAAAATATTCTCTAAGTCTACTTCTACGGTTTGAATGAAAAAGCAAGTTAAGAGCCATTTTAACCTTTTCAATTTGAATATTTAAAATTCTCATACGATCACGCACAATTAAATGGTAAATATTACAAATACATCTAACATGAAAAAGGTTACTAAATGCAGGATTTAGCATAGTGGTAAGCAAATCTATAGCATTTGTGTTATTAGTGGCATTATCCATTGAAACCAACATTATTAAAATACCACCGGTAATATTGTTAATTCCCAGTTGAAATTAATTTGAATCGGTACTAGGGACAGCCTGACTAGGACTAGGTACACTTTTCCCCTCGGCCAAAGCTTCCAAACGTTGATATCTGACGTTATCTTTACGGTGTTTTTTTATGTGCCTAGCCAAAGATCCCATCCCGCCCCAGGATTCAAAATATTTAAGAGCTAACTCCATACCACAAGTTTCACTTAGCCTTATTTTGTGAAACTAGTTGAGTAAAAAAGGGCTAAAC